AAGCTGAACTCCAGGCATTTTATTAACAACAACAAAACAAGTTAATGCAGCTCTGCATTTATCATTAGAACAATAAATGTATTTTTTAACGCAAACAGTGCAAGTGCCTGAATTCGACATGTTATCAGCAGAGCACGGACTGGAAGAGGGAGAAGCAGGGGGATGTAGCCCTGGCCTCACAGATGCATCCTGGGAAATCTTGTCTGTAAACTGCAAAATCTCTCAATCTCAGGATGTGCTGCCTCCAACAATTGTATGGTTAATACAATGCATTGGTATTTTTGTGTATAGCAATAATGTTTGCTATGCTACCATCTTGTGGTTACTCTGTTTATTGCAGCTCCTTTCCTATTTTCCCTCACCCTTGTATGATGTAAATCCCTAATTTTTTTCAGTGTACAATTCAGCCATCTTAACACCACGTGTTCCTGAGACTACCAAAGAAATGTTCGTTTTGACTGCCTTAAATACTTGAATTAAGCATCTACCACATCTTATTGTCTGCCGGTAACCTGCTGCTCTCGATAAAGATTGTCATGGATGAGAAGTATTTGGTGAGTTCAGCTATCTGATGAAGATTGTCTGCGGTGATTGTATCTGCTACATACAGGCGGCCAGGCATAGAGGTCTCAGGAAAGGATAAATCACTATTTCAACAGTTAGAGTCAGAATACAGGGGAAAAACACCTCAACCCCTTTCCTCAGATTATTTGTACTGTCACATGTTCCAGGAGCCAAACCCAGAATTCCAGGAAGTACAGGGAGATAGATTAATCTGCCCTTAGTGAAAATGGCCATCGTGGTAATTATGGGGCAGAAAAGGAAAATAAGGTATGTAAAGAATAAAAGGCCTACAATTATCTATAAGTACATATTTGTAGATTGCCATTACTAAACATTTTCAAAGGTGCCTATGTTGTCATATTTTATAAATAAGGTTACATTTCCTCTTTAAGTGCAGCAGAGAAAAATTAAAGCCAAACTATACTAAAAAAATGACTTTTTTTCCACCCATCTCTAACCCATCCTACTAGCCTACTAGCTTTCCACCTCAGTTCCCCCTCTGGGTTTCCCACCACCACTGTTTCCAGGTGGAGGGACCACAAATTCAGCCAGCAGTGAGATCGCTGGTCCCCTTCACTCCCCTCTGCTGATGTTAGTTCTCTTCTGTATCCTGCCAGGACCCTGGCCAATTGACATCCAATAGGAAGTGTCCATATCATGCAGGTGCTGATGTGGACACTCAAAGAGGGACTCAAGCAGGAAGTAAACAGAAGAGAAGACTCCTGTTGAAATATAATTAAGAAAACAAACACACTACAAAGTAAATAAGATCTTGTATCTGAGCTAAAATGTTGATTTTGCAATCTAGTGGGTTAAAAGACTGATTAATGAACCCATATGGGCATTCATAGCACATGACTGTTGTGGAACACTTTCTTGGCAATACTGTTAATTCATTGCCACCGTCTGATAAGTGGTTTTATACATATTAATATATAATTATAAATATAATATCACATAATGGGGTTGGTTTACTAAAGGAGTAAAGGCTGTTCATTGAGCAAAATTAATGTTTACTTATAAAGTGTGTGTTCTCTTGTCAAAGTGTATGCTATTAAATTAAAAGAGAACTAAAGCCAAACCTCTTTTGTCTTTGGTCTTCTTTTGGGTCACAGGAGGACATTTACTAATGTCCTCCTGTGACCCAAAGTCAGCATCTAGCGGGCTACTGCCCTCTATATGCTGACAGCACAGAGCTGCTCTGCAGCTGGGAAAGATCCCGACAATATTCTCGGGATTCCACACGTCTGCCTGATTGTGCCCGCCCCTTCCTTGTTTGTTCCTCCAATGAATGTTGGAGGAACAAAGAGGGGAGGGAGGGAATACCCACAGGATCTATAGAGCTGCCTTGTGACACTGTCACGCACTGGCTCTAAGTATTGGGAAGAGTAAATTTTACTCCCAAAACGTCTCCTTTAAGTGAACCTGTATTCACTTCGGGGTCTATTTATCAATGTATGTATACAATACCCACTTTCACCCAAGATTCACCAATTACTCTAGGTGAACATGTGTGAATCTGGGGTGAAAGTTGTGTGAATCTTTTGTGAAAACATCAATAAATAGACCCCCTTGAGTACCTAATTATATGCGACGGAAATAACAAAATAACTGGATTTTTCTAGCACATGATTGGTTGTTTGAAGTGAACAAAGCTTCATCTTTTACTAACCTCAATAAATATTGATTTTGCTTAGTGAACAGTCTCTATTCCTTTAAAAAAAAAAACAACCCCAGTGAATTCCTAAAACAGAACGCTCACATGTTGCATCAAAATGCATTCAGGTTTTAACTGTGTGATTAAAAAATGTTCTAATATATTAACAACTTGATGTATTTTACTATCTTTCAGGTGCCCAAATATCAGACAGTTTAGACGACGGATGAAATTGTTTTTTGTGGGAGCATTATCCTAAAGTTTTGTATATATAGTTTAAAGCCCAGTTGTAGCTGTTTTTAATTGGACTGCTGCACTCTGTGTGAGAGAACAGTGGTCTACCTGGTTCTTATATCTAGTGTGCTACCGGGGGGTAGTGGGGGAGGTGTGCTGGAGCACTATTAATGAAGAATGCATTCAATTCCTTTGTTTTTTTTTATGTAGCCTGACTTACTATAACTATTAAAAACGCATACTTTCTACTGCGCAATGAGGATTACAGAGCTGCAATTTATAAACATAAATAGTGACTTTCCATCGGTTTAGTGCACGCCTTAAAATGTAACCTCAGAAGTGCCATAGTGATCTGGTAATGGGTTCTCATATATCAAGCAGACTAGTTTACAGGTATATCAGAAAAAGTATGTTACTGCCCGCAATCGGCAAATCTCCCCAATCTGTGTTAGATCCTGGTCCAGAGAAACTGATTCCCTCATTGCCAATTTATCCGGGGAAAAAGAAATATAAAACATACCTTTATGTGTTCTCTGTTAGCTGGGTATCTCCTTCCAGTCTGATGCAAGAGGGCAATATATATACTGTATGTGTATATATAGTAAATACTGCATGTATACTGTATATATGTTATACCTCAGTATATCTTGTTATATATGATCAATACACGACTGTACATTTTATACAATCAGCCTACTCATGCTTTAATATATGCTTTTATGTTACTTTGTTACTATAATGGCTAATTTTGATTCTTTGCTTTTTTCGGGTCACTGCTTTTTTTTTCTCTGACACTGAGCTTTTCATCCACTCTTTAGACCCCGTCAGTAGTTATGAGACCAGCTCTTAGCAAACGTATCCTTTGCCAAAGTATGCCATATTAAGCATTATACCCTCTATACATGCTTGCATGCTTGTGTACAACCTCCTTTGCTCAGAAGTATTTTCTGTAAATCTAGTGACTGCACCTAACAAGGGGGTGGGGGTGTTGCGGGCTTTGTGGTTAGCTGGGGTCTATCCCCTGTGATCACAACATAAGTAAGTTCTGGAACACATTCCAGGTTTCTTGGTTCTTGGTTCATGTTGGCAGATCCATCTCTGCCTCTCTTCTTAAGTACCCCCCTGAGAGATAGTTGTGGTTTTCCCTTTCTCTCTATTCCTGTGCACGCTTAAATGCAGAAAACCTGAGGCAATCAAGAGCGATGATGACTTAAGCCCTTCATCTATAAATTGTCGCTCTCAAGTATGTTTTTAACCCTGGCATAACCTATTTCTCTGAATGCATTTAGATTTGACAGGCATTTGCTCTTTCATTATCTGTTTATGATGGCACTAGCATAGAGCATATCTGCTGGCAAATGTGTATTCTCAAATAGACCTATGTCCTTGTGTTGTCTAGCCATGCTGTCATTTTAATTTTATTGCAGTAGTTACCTGTTTTTCATTTTAAAAAGCAGCAATAATATATTGACAGAACATACTATAAATAGCTAGTATCTCATATCATGCAAAACAGTACTGTACATATGTGTAATATGTATCAAAATGTAACATAACTTTTTTTTACAGTCAGCTGAAAATAACTTATATGACATACTTTGTTTCGAATTTGTTTCAGACATATAACTGGATACACCACAATAGACTGACTGTACATTTACGTATATATAAATTAATTATCCCCATAATACTTCTTTATAACTTCCTTAAAAATAAGGTAACTAGTGTTTTAATATATTTGTTGTTGAATTAATTTTAATTTATTTTCCACTACACTGTTAAAATGTCACAAAAAAGCAATCAAGCAGGAAAAATATATTATTTTTTATTATATAACAATGTCAATAACACAACAGTTTACAAACATAGCACAGTGTGTATTTGGAGAGGGCAGGAATCCAAACACCCAATGCTTTAGTTGGTTACAATGCCAAGAAAACTATTGCTCACAGGAAAATGTCTCAGTTGCATTGCAGCCTTACTAAACACATTGTTATAATTAATTTATCTTTTTAGTGTTTGGTTTATTATATATTCTTGTGCACTTAGTCAGTGATTGTAAATGTAGTTTTGAATACTGGAATCCAACTTTAGCAACTTTAGCCTGTTCTTATGAAGAACCGGACAACGCTCTACATATATATGTTAGTGCTACCCCCAGAACAGTGCTCTCCAGTATAATAAAAAAATTAGTTTACTTTTATAAAGTAGGAAGGGTAACTGAACTGCAGCTGTGCTTGGTTAATTGAGAGTATAGTTTTTTGTTTCTTTGATTCTATTGACCGGGTTTATATAGAAGCTTACTTCTTAAATTGGTTTTACATTTATGGTGACCCCCAAAAAAATGAAAGACCAGAAGACCGCAAGGAAACAGTAACACTGATAGAATCTCTGTCCCTCTCCAACACGCTCTTGCTGTGCCCCCCTTTTCTGACATATTTTAATATTAAACTTCCCGCCTCCTACATCACACAGTGTAACACACTGCAAACACCCAATGGTTTTGGTAGAGGCATGTCAGTGAGCTTATGAAGTGCTGCTTTCACATATAAGCACCAGCCATCTTAATAAAGCCTATTGTGTGAAGTGCAAAGCCTCTAGTTAGGCTCTTTTCTATTGACTGTTCATCTTGCATTTCACAACTTGTGTTTCCGAAGCATTGTCTGCTATCATTCCTTTTCATCCCATTTGTGATCCCAGTGCCAGAAGGAATAGAAGGGAAGTGAAAGAATGGGTGAATGTTTGAGGTGTTTAAAAAGCAATGGTCCAGCATACAAGTCCTTGTGTCTTTTTAGGATATCTCCACTTTATGTTGTCCTACAAACATTTTGCTTTAGCCTTTTACTCCAAAACAATGTACATTTAGTGTCTCTGCTCTGTTAGCTGTTCTCACTCCAGTCTGGTACCATTCCCACTCCATGGACAGGGTGATATTGGTGTGGTGATAGGGTCCGAGGAACATGTGGGTAAAGAAAGTCAGAGGACTGGATGGTAGATGCCTGTTGTAACCCAGCCTGAGGTGCACACTGCCTTACAATAGCTTGGTGAGAAGGCTGATGTTGGAACATGGAGTGGCTATCTGCAGCCTGTGAGCTGGCATGGTTGCCCAATCTGGGCATAAGTGAGCTAGAGGTAAAATGGGCAGAGAAGTGCTGGTAGGGCAATCGCTCCATAGGTTGCATTCCACCTCCCACTGTGCAGCTACTATAAGATGGCACACTTGACCAGCTATTACATGAAATGTCTTCTATGCCTGTGACAGGCTCTGTGGCAGGTGCTGAATTAGCATACATGCAGGCCTGGCGTTGTGCCGACTCTGTGCGAAAAGAGGTTGAAGACGAAGAAGAGGAGGATGGTTGTGGATACCCAGGCCTGTAGTATGGATCGTCATCATTTGGAGATGTGTCCATGTAGGGCTTCTTATAAGGATGTTCAGGCGATTCTTCACTTGCTGAAAAGGAAAATAAATATTTTGAATTTTTTTTCTTACCATTGTTGCACTTTACCAAATGTAATTTCCTCTATAATTTAAAGAACATGTTTGTTATGAGTAAACTTGCTCTTAGATGACCCCCCCCCCCCC